CCGTGAGAAGAGTCAAGGGGGACAGCATGATGGGCCAGTACAACATGCGAATACTGAGGAGGTGGAGGGCAAGCATGGACTTGCAGGTCATCTGCGAACTCACAAGCGCCAGCCGCTACATATTGGGCTACACTTTCAAATCGGAGGAGGATCGCGACGCGCAGCGTCGCATGGAGAACATCCTGGCCGACCTGACGTCCAGCGCTGCGGGCGAGGGCCTGGACAATCAGAAGGTCTACAAAGCAGCGCACGCAGCGTTGCAAGGCAGGACCACTTCCACCTTCGAGGCATGCCACCTGCTACTGGGTTACCCGATCATCGAGTTCTCCAGAGACAACGTTTGGGTGCAAGTAGGACCTCCGGACACCTGGACCGTGTGGGTGCCAAAGCACGAGGAAAAGGTGGCCTTGAAGCAGCCTGACCACTACCACAGCAAGAAGGTCCACCGAAGCGGTGACCTGCCTGCCGCTCATCACTGGTACCGTGAAATGCAGACGAGATTCGGCGACCAAGAAACAGCCTTGCCGGTGGAAGGTGGCGAACCGATTTCTTGTCGGTTCATGGACGTCACCTTCCTGGACTTTTGCGCTGCTTTCAGGTACATAGGCGTCCAAGAGCCACAACCTCGCAAGAAGCCTGCGATCGTTGGCTACCAGAACTTCAACCCGGACGAGGAGTCGGAAGCCTTCTACTACTCCAAGTTGCTGCTGCATCTAGTCTGGAAGGAGCCAGGCGATTGGCTGGTGGAGCAAGACGCGGGAAGCCATGCAGCAGCATTCCATCGCGTCGCCCGAGACGTGGACGGCCACCCGGATTTCCTTCGGTCCAAATGCTTCCCTCAGCTGGACGGGACAGTGAACGCCGCTCGACAGCTGCAGGCCGTGCAGGCCATAATGTATATGAAGGCACATGCATCGGCACAGTGTCGGGACGGATGGTTCAACAGCAAGATCGCCGAAGAGAATTACAAAGACTCCTTGCAAGTTTTGGAGGCACTGAGAGAGCGGCATGGAGAAGATATCGACTTCCTTGCCCCAGACACCGTGGCCACGGGGCCTGCCAGCAACGCCTTCGCGCCGGTTGAAGAAGGCGAGGAGTCCTTCCAGAAGCTCACGATCGAGAATCCCAGTCCAGAGACCATGCGCCAGAGAGAAGCGATGAACTACATCATCAGCACGATCCTGAAGCCCCCCGATGCAAAGGACGGCCAGACTAGCCAGCGCCTTCACATGCTTCTTCACGGGCCGGGAGGCTGCGGAAAGTCCGTGGTGGTGCGTGCAGCAGCTCATGCTTTGCGGCAAAGCAAGAAGGGATGCATCATCGCTTCGCCCACGGGCGTGGCAGCCTTCAATATCAACGGCATCACCCTCCATCAATGCTGTTTATTGCCGGTTGTCAACCAAAGCTATGGCAAAGCCTGCGACATGCCGCAGCCGGACGGCCAGAAGTTGGCCACTCTGAGGGAGATCTGGTCGAAGGTCACCGTACTTTTTGTCGATGAGATCAGCTTCGTCTCTTCGTGGATGCTGCAGCGCTTGGATCAACATCTGCGACTTGCAAAAGACCTGCAGACCCTGCCCTTCGGAGGACTGCACGTCATCTTTGCTGGCGACCTGTACCAGTTGCCTCCACCGAACGGGCTGCCGGTCTTCGAGAGCCAGTTGTGGCTGCTCTTCCAGCTCTGCGAGCTCGAAGGAAACCAGCGTGCTGCGCGAGATCCTGCTTGGGCCGCTCTGCTGGCACGGGTTCGGGTGGGAAAGTGCACCGAGGCAGACATCCAGGTGCTCCGGAACATGGTGATCAAGAAAGGCAGCAGCAAGCGGCCCGCCCCCAAAGCCGTGAACCTGTACGCCACTCGACAAGCAGTCGCCGAAAGCAACCAGCGCTACAAAGAGGAGCATGTTATGAGGGAAGGTGTGCAGCTGCACGACTGCCCGGCAGTCGACACCAATGTGAAAACCGGTGCCCTGCTAGCTCCAGAAGATGTTTGGGCCGAACCTGAAAACACAGGTGGCCTGGTGAGCCTGCTGCAGGTGGCTGTTGGGCTGTGCGTCATGCTCAGGTACAACATCGACGTGCCCGATGGCTTGGTCAACGGTGCGTGCGGCATTGTGGAGCACATCGACACCGAAGCAAGCGGCGGGGAGGTCGAGAAGATCTGGGTTGCTTTCGAAAAGAATGCCGGAGCCATTTGGAAGAGAGAACATGGAACCCCTTCGGTTGCAATCTCGCGGCGCGCGGCCACTTTCCTGGACAAAGATGGCAAGAGGGCATCGCGGCGTCAGTTCCCCATCGTTCTCGCCAAAGCCATGACGATCCACAAAAGCCAGGCAGCCACCTGTCACGAAGGCATCCACGCCCGCCTCGACCACACCATCTTTGCAGAAGGTCAAGCCTACGTCGCCCTGAGCCGCTGCCCCGAACAGGCGCTCTGCAGCTTGGAGCATTTCAACCCCAAGGCATTGCGGTTCAACGCCCACGCAGAGTGGGCTTTGACCAAGCTGAAGGTGCAGCAAGCCGAACGTGACGGCCCGCCGGTATGGAAAGCTTTGTTCATGCCACAGCAGACCAGGGATTTCTACGAGCGCCGCCTGGCTGAGTTGGGGAAGCCCGATTGGGCTCGTTTCCAGCCAGACTCGAACGAAGGCATCGACCGGCCCTGGTGTTGCCCGGACTGCGGAACGGAGGCTCCAAACACCAAGCTCGCCATCAAGCAACACCGACAAAAGTGCCCAGCCAAACCCAAGCCCAAGTCCCAGCCGAAGAACAAGTCCAAGGCAAAGGCCTTCGGCGCTTCAGCATCAAGCAAAGCAAAGGCCAAGATCAGGCCCGAGATGTCCAAGCTGGTGGGGACTAAGCGAAACGCTGATACTGGCAGCCGCTGTGCCCCTGCTTCGAAGCGGGCAAAGACAGAGAGCCGCTCCAGCAGCGCACCATCCATGGCCGCCTGCTCAACTTCCACAACCAAGCCACCAGACCTCCAAGATGCTTGCGCCAAGCCTGCCAGAACAGATACAAGCCGACGAGATGAGACACAGGACTCGCCTGCCATTTATTTTGAATCCCAGGTGGAGCTGCGGTGCGGCATCCATGCTTTGAACCACGTCTTCGGTGCCGCATACTTTGACGTTGCAGCAATGGAGCATGCAGTCGCATCGTTTCTCGAGGAGAACTGGGAAGTCGGGGACGAGCAGCAAGCTCACATGGGGCCTGGCGGCGACTACTCCATCGAGGTGCTGATCATGGCCGTGCGGACGAGGTCCATGGAGCTCTTCGAGCGTCTATGCTGGCACATGGAAGATCGCCGAGCCCTGGAACCCGAAGACCTTCACAACTGCATCGGGGCGATTCAGAACCATGGCGGCCAGCACTGGACTGCATTGCGGCGTTGGAACGGACGCATTTGGTGCCTAGATTCCCTTTGCCGGGCTCCACATGTGCTGTCGGACGTCGAGCTGGCAGCTTCCGTGAGGGAGCACCCGACCTTTGCAATTCGCTTGATCTAAGGTCGCAACTAGGCCGGCAGTGTACAGTGTGCAGCCTGGTACAAACTCTAGCTGAGCCAAAGGCCGCGAACAATTGCACAGGTTCACGGCCAAGGCAACGGCAACCACGGAAGAAAAGAGCTGCATGTGTGCTTCCAGGAAGGCGAATCGAAAAACTTCTTTCTGCACATGTGTTACCTTCAGCCAGGAGGTTGCCAAATTGCCTGTGCGCTCGGGTTGATGCACTGACATTTGGGCTCAGCTGGTAGCTGTCGCAGATAGCTTCCCATGCTATGCAGCAATCCTCCCGTTTCCTCTCCAGTATGCGTGGACCTTACATGCTGCAAGTCTTCATGATAAGTGCTGAACTGTTTGAACACTGATTTCCATCGCAAGAACTGCTGAGGCCTAAGCAGCTCCAGATCAAGCTCGGCGACTGTCCGAATCTGAGCGACTGCCTTTCTGGAATATGCTTTGGCCCGTGCATAGAGAAGGCACTGCAAATCTGGGCGAAGATCTGGGCCTTGCCAAAGGTTTCTCAAAAACCCCTATAAATGTTTCTTTTACAGCAAACCTTTTCCAAACCCGCTCCAGGTCAAACCTAACATACGGCCCTGTCAAAACCCGCTCCTGGCGAAAACCAGCAAACCTCCAACAACAACAACCCAGCCCACAGCCCAGAACAAACCAATTCCAAACCAATAACCAAGCAAAACAACCCAGCTTCAGCCTCCCCACGCCACCCAGCGAGCAGCCGGCCCCAGCCTGCAGCCAGCCCGGCCCAACCCCAGCCCACCAGCCCCAGCCCCAAACAGCCCCAACTGGGCCCCCCCCGGCAGCCAGCCCGGCGCAACCCCAGCCACCAGCCACCCCACCAACCCCAGCCAGCCCCAGCCCACAAGTCCGGACCCCAGAACACAAAAGCAAAAGCGAAAACCCCCCAAAACACCCCAAACCAAAACCCTGCAAAACCACCCAAAACCCGGCAAAACTCGGGACCCAAACCCTATACAATTTCTATCCGCTCCTTCCAAGCACTTCAAGCACTTCAACCCAGCCTCAGCCTTCCCCACGCCACCTCAGCCAGAGCCCCCCTGGCAGGCAGCCCAGCCACCAGCCACCCCACCAACCCCAGCCAGCCCCAGCCCACAAGCCCGGACCCCAGAACACAAAAGCAAAAGCCAAAACCCGGCAAAACCCCCCAAAACCCGGCAAAACCCCCCAAAACCCGGCAAAACTCGGGACCCAAACCCTATACAATTTCTATAAACCCTAAACTTTGAAAGCCCTGAACTGTAGCCCTAAACCCTAAACCCTAAACTCTGAAACCCCTAAACTCTGGAAACCCCAAACCCTAAACCCCAAACCCTAAACCCCAAACCCTAAACCCAAACCCTAAACCCCCTTTAAGCCCTAGAATCTAAACCCTAACTCTGATTCTTAAACCCTAAACTTTGAAAGCCCTGAGCTGTAGCCCTAAACCCCCTTTTAAGCTGCAGCGATCCAGCTCCGGAGGCCCTCGCAGCATCGAAGTCCCGGCCAGCAGTGGACGGCAACGGCAGCTGGACGTCCGAAAAGTTTTGTTTCAGCATTTAGGGTTTAGCAGTTTAGGGTTTAGGGGTTTAGGGTTTAGGAGTTTAGAAGTTCAGGGTTTAGGGGTTTAGGGTTTAGGAGTTTAGAAGTTTAGGGTTTAGGGGTTTAGGGTTTAGGAGTTTAGGGTTTAGGGTTTAGGGGTTTAGGGGTTTAGGGGTTGTGGGTTTAGGGGGTTTAGGGTTATTTAGGATTACGTGACAAAGTTATGTGAGCTGCAGGTTCTGATACCTGTGAATCTTCTTTCCAGCTGCATACTGATGAATCTGAATTTGGGATCTGCGTTCCGCTTCGAACACTCCTAGGTCTAGCCGCACTGTTGCGCTAACAGAAAGACGCCGTAAACTGCACCAAAGCATTTGCCGGTTGCAGCCGCTGTACCTCTGGCAAATGGAGGGAGCTCATTACTATTATGAATACTATTGTTACTATGTTATGGTTACTATGATTACGATGATTCCTATGATTACCATGATGGAAAATTACTATTATTACTATTGGTACTGCTATTTTTATCTTTTTCATTACAGCCGTCCACGTGAAAGTGTGCCAGGTCCAGGTTTACGGCTTGATGAGTACTATATAGGGATCTATATCAATTCAGGCTCTTTATAATTATAGTATATACGGGCCCCAAAACCCTGCTCTAATTATTTAGTCCCCTATATTACGGTTTGAATTCACAGGGTTCTTGGCCACGTGTTGGTGTCCTTTATGCCGGGCACGCCCCCAAAGGGAGTTGCGTTGTAAAATGCGGCTTACGTCGGTCAAGGGCGCGTTGCATCAAACTGGAAAGATGCAGCTGCAGGACACTGCTCCAAGATGTCCATCAGCCTTCATCCTTAAACAAAACATCTTGCACAGTCGGTGAGAGCCACAACCTGTATAAAGCCCTGAAGTTTACTGCAGCCTTAAGCTGTAAAGCCTCAAGCCTGTAAGCTCTAGAACCAGCATGAATCCATAAGCCCACAAGTCTCTTGAAGGTAACTCCGCCTGCGGCAACTGCCAGACTGTGGCATCAGGCCAGGTTTGCGCTTTTGGAGTGTGCGTTTAGGGTATTAGGGAAAGGATTTGACTCGGATTTCAGGGGTTGAACAGGGTTTGGGGTGTTGGGCTTCAGGGTTTTAGCTTCTTGTTTTAACAGGGTTCAGGGTTCTTCAGGGCTTAGGCTTTAGTACAGGGTTTAGGGCTCAGGGTCTGAGGTTTCGGGCGTCGGGTTCGAGAAAGGTTCAGGCTCCGGAGTCTGGAGCGTTTTCAGAGGTGCAGGCCTTTGCTTGCCCAGCCCAGCATAGAGGAGTTGCAGCCCTACAAGAAGTTGTCGGTAGTATCTTCAACAACATTATTCTCCCCTCCCTACTGCGATGTGCCCCACAAGCCGTTTTTGAGCCGCTGTCACACCCTTGGCTCATCCACCCTCAACCCTAAACCCTAAAACCCTAAACCCCAAATCCGAAACCCTAAATCCAAAAACCCCCATGGGAAGACACGAACTCGGATGCACCCCGAAGCCGAAGCAGGAGACCGGCTTCGCTGCAACGCTGAGTTGTTGCTATAGTATCCTTAGGCTTTTTTTATGTTTGTTCATACAAAACCCGAGAGATTTTTTACAAGTAGGATCTTTTTATTTTGTTCATACAAAACCCACGAGAATTTTAACAATAATATGTTCATTATGGTTCTAAGAAGGGTATAGGTTGCAAGACCCCGATCTCGGGGTTTGGGTTCAGGGTTCAGGCCCTAATTAAGAACTAGAGTAGAGCTCCTGTAAAGGCAATTATACGAGCTGTTTTAGGACTGAATCATTGCAAAAAGGTTATGAAGGCGGTAGATAAGGAATCCTGACGACAGGAAGCGTATTAGCAACTATTCACACCCCACTATATGTGTGTATATATATATACATACATACACACATACGTACATACATAATATGTACATAAACACGCACGCCAAAATTTTATATGTGAATATATATATATATATATATATACATATATATACATACTGTGAAAACGTGCATATGAATACATACATACATACATACATACATACATACATACATACATACATACATACATACATATACATATATACAAATATATGTTTTATGTTTATGTTTATGTATATATATATATATATGTATACACATATATACATACATGTACATGTATATATATATATATGTATAATACACACACGCACACATAGTACAGACATACACATGTAAACATACATTGATGGACCTAAACCTAAGAACCGAAGCGAAACCAGGTCCGCCACGCTTCCGCCCGAAGCCTCCATTGCGGTGCACTGAAGCCCCACAAACACAAAACTATACCGTCATCCCTGAACCCCAAACCGCGGCGAAACCCTAAACTTAAAACCCTTAGGTCGTAACTGGGGTAAGACTTAGAGCCCGAAGTCCTAAGACCTTAGATCCGACATCCTTAATGCTGGGACCTGTATCAGCTTAAGTCCTAAGACTCTAAACCCTTCAAACCCGAAGCTCTACACCCCAAACCCTAAACCCTAACTTTAGATAGACCGTTAACCCTAAGCCCTCAAACCTAAACCTGAAATCCTCGCTGTTGGGGAGACCTGCAAGCAGCTTGAAAAGGGCCCTGCACAAGAATAAAAATCCCAGAGCCTATAAACCCTTAACCTTATACCTACAAACCTTAAATCCTAAAGCTTATAAACACCCTAAACCCTCAAACCCTAAGCCCTAAACCCTAAAAACCTTAAACCCTAAACCCTAAACTCTAAACCGACCCTAGAACCCAACCAGGGCACCTCAAGTGGGTTCGCCTTGACCTGGGCATGGCACGGACGGTGACGCAGGCGCGGTCACTTGAACTAACCCTGAGGGTCCATGTGACCATATACAGGGTTTAGGGGTTTAGGGTTGGTTAGTTGTCAAAATTAGGGTCCCTTTTTGGGTACCTTGAATATTAGGCGCCGTATTACAATAAGGACCCCCGAAAGGGACATAGTTTTGACAACCACCCATATACCTACAAACATGCAAATATATATATATATATATATACATATATATACATATACATATACATATACATATACATATACATATACATATGCATATACATATACGTACACACGCATAATTTTCCTAAAGGTAGTAATGTACTACAGAAAAGCGGCCTTGTGGCTAATTTGGCTTCAAATACCTTTATCGGGAATACTTCAAGGCCAAAGTATGTACTATATGGATACATAGACCCTTAGGGTAATACCGGTGGTCTCAATGTTTGGCTTACGATATCACCTTATAGTCCCGATGTAACTCTTCTTTTTACACTGTTCAACTTTGCAGGGCTTCTAAGATTGTTCCCTTCTCCAGTATACAAGCACTCTTAGGGCTACATTCCGTGAGTCATGGGCTTGCGGTTTTGGGTATTCCAGAGCCTATGGGTTGGGTACTGCTCTGTAGCTCTAAAATGAACCCTAATATAGACTGTTGCAGGGTGGGGTCAGTGCCCAACCTATGGCTTCAGGTCTTGTGGCATCTAAGAAGATTAGGATTGTGCTGGGGCGCGTGAGAATTTGATTGAAAGCCAGACGTCGTTCACCGAGGTGGCCAGGTTTCTCCTGAGAGGACGGCAAGCCCCAGACTTTTCCTAAGTTTAGAGTTAAGGTCGAGGGTTCTCGGGGGGGTGTGCTCCCTGAGCCGACGACGTCGAGATGAAAGTCAGTTCTTCCGGTCCCAGAGGTGGTGCCAGCTATCGCCTGACCGAGCCGACCGACAAATGCCATCCTAAACCCTAAACCCTGAACCCATCAGCCCTAAACCCAAACAAACTCGTGCCCTAGTCGAAGCCTGGCATTTCTATCGAAACGTGAGTGGATATGGTCCTGCTGCACCCTCGCACAGCAAAAAAAGAGCATGGTCCAAGCCTTAGCCGTCATGCATCGCAGGTGCGGCTGTACAACCCCCAGCAAGGCTCGCGGCCGGAAGCACGGTCGTGCGGTGTTTCGTGCTGTCATAGTGCGTGCATGGATAATGGGGGTAGGAACATTTCTGTTTGTCTGTGTGTGTGGCCGGGTTCCGTTTAGATGGGTAAGTAAGCGAAACCAAACAAATCACGAGGTAATATACGCATACAAATGAAATACATCTACAGATGTACTTTACACTGGTCGGAGGTTCCCCAGTTTGTTCACAACTCAGCATCAAATCTTCAGGCTTCGAAGTTCCATCTTCGGGCGTGGGCTAAGCCTGAAAACCCGATCCTTCAAAGGACACCAGAATTGGGTACCGGGTTTAGGGTTTATGCTTGGGAGAGTAGTTAGAGGGGTTAGCATTTGGGAGGGTAGACATGCTTCAGGTGATTTGCGTGTGATTTGCGTAGTCTGACATCGCATGCGTCTCCGCACCACTGTAGCCGCAGCTGTACCCACTGCCAGCAGATGGGTGCATCTGCGGTATTTCATGGATGTCGGTATGCTTTACTGCAGTAGCAGAGAACCCAGAAGCTGGAAACCGCAACCCCAAACGCTAAATCGATCCTACATGCAGACCCTGAGCCCTAAACTGCAGCGAAACTAAAGTCAAGGGAACTGGGCGGCTGCCGCAGATGCCAGCCTGTTCTGCAAGCCCTGGTCTCTAAATCCCAAACCGTACATCAAGCATATCCTCAGCCCGAACGCAAGCAGAACTCGTAAACCACACACGGCTAAATTGAGAGGTTGGAATGTGCATGTCGGATCGACACCCTGGCCAGTACAGGGCGCAACCTACTTGCTAGGGCCTTGGATTCCAGAGGTGGGTGGGGAGCTTAGAGCTATAGGAGTACTCATGTGATTCAGTTTCAGACTGTGTGGTGCTTCATGGCATGTAGCTATGGGTGCATCTATCTGGCTTCTTGTGTTGATATCATTTGTTTAAATCATCGTGCTCAGGTTTGAAGGTTAAGGTTGCTCTCCGACTTCACAAGCTGCAAACCAAAACGTCCCTGCACTGTTACAGTGATCAGGTTTTAGGTGTGGAGTGTGGCTTTTGTTGCCGTTTGGCCGTGGCGTCGGGGTTCTTGAGACAGTCTCGACTGTTGTTACTTCTGTTCCACAGGGCTGCTGTAGCACGACCTGTCACCAGCACCTGCACCAGCACTAGCACCACGAATACGACTTGGACTGCCACACGACCGACGATGAGGACGGCAACGCCGACAACGACTACCACCACCACAGCCACCACCAGCAAAGCTCCTGCTCATCCTCCTCCTCTTCCTCTGCTGCCGTTTCGATCGGTATTGCTTAGATCGGGGTCGTTTGATTTCAACGGCGACTGCAGCCCTGCTCCTTTGTGCCGATGCAAGCCTCTGCTGCAGAGTCCTACATCCTAAACGGCCCTGAACCCAACTCCTACGTCCAAAGACCCGGAAAACTGCCTTTTCACGGGATCCCACCGCAGTCCTCACCTCGATCTTCTGCATTATGGTGTAGGGTTGCATGTTGGGGATCGTAACTTCATCGTTGCAACTGCGATGTGGCCGGTGAGAAGCTGCGACAAGTCAGGGTCTTCACAGACTTTGTCCCAACACGGAGATCTGGCTATTAGTAGCAGTTGTCGGAACAGATCTTACAACCCTATCGACCCTAGAACCGAAAGATGGAAAAAGGATCTAAATCGAAAAATCGATTGCTGTCTCCCGCAGTTGCTTGAGCCCAAATTGTTCCGGGAACGTTGGAGCAGAACGGAGTAGGGTCCAGGGACAACGCCTGTCATTGGCACCCCAAAAACGCAAACCACAACCGACAGCACTTGAGCTCGGATTCTCTCGTAAACTCTATACCCTAAACCCCTTGAACCCCCAGGTACGAAGCAACCACGGGGACGTGTAGCAGCGTTCCCTGGCCTCCTCAAAGAGGGCATCGCTGCGGGCTTTTGGGTTCTTCGGGACGTTGGAAGACTGTTTTTGTTTAACGATTTTGTGGTGTTTCAGGGTTGTTTCTCTCGCGATTTGTTGTTCAAGGTACCGCGTGTGTTTTCCCATTCTGCGCAAGCTCTTCTAGAGAGTTGTTTGTTCTGATACAGGTTTTTGCCGTCGACTCGTCGGGAGCCACAGAGGTAACTCAGAACAGCCCACGAACTGTTTCGACAAAAACACTATCTCACTCGATGCTGCCAAAGTCGGAACTGGGATCCACGAACGTGCACAGTGCTCCAAAATCGAAGCATCGGAAAAACAACCTTATGATGCGCCATACAGCCGATGTAGTAATCCTGCATTGCTGTTGTGTCTGGGGTGGCATTATTTGTTGACGGCTGCCTGTGGGGTACAGGCATATCCGACCCCCTCCAGCCCAAGGTATTAACTACATGCTTTGCATACAGGTGTTTGGTGGGGCTTGGGCTTGGGCCTTCGAATAAATTCGAACGGTGTTCGGGGCAGATGGACTTAGACCCTAAAATCTGAACCCTGGCCCTAGTCGCCAGAATGACTTAAGTCAAACTAGACTATATTAGCAATGCCGGTGTGATGTAATACCTATACAACTCTTGCACATTTACAGATCCCTAGAGCCCAAAGCCCAGACCCAAACCCAAACCCTGAAGACTAAGCCCAAACCCCAAACCTGCAAAACCCTAAACCCAAAACCTTAACCCTAAAACCCTGAACCCAAAGCCTCAACCTTAAACCCTAAACCCTACAACCCAAACCCCAATAACCCTACATTCCTTATGAAGCCTTAAAAGGTCAGCAAATGGGAGATTTGGGACTTGGAGCTCTGCCAGCGGGCTGCGGACCGACTTTGGAGATCGTTATAGGGTTTATAGGTTTGGGGGTGTAGGGTCTAGTTCTCTTTGGGCTCCTATAAGGACTATTGATAAGGGTGCTACAAGGGGTTTATGGGTTTAGGGTTTATAGGTTTGGGGGTTTAGGGTCTACTTCTCTTTGGGCTCCTATAAGGACTATTAATAAGGGGGCTACAAGGGGTTTGTGGGTTTAGGGTTTATAGGTTTGGGGTTTAGGGTCTACTGCTCTTTGGGCTCCTATAAGGACTATAAGGGTGCTACAAGGGGTTTATGGGTTTAGGGTTGTAGGCTGGGCTGAGGGTTTAAGGCTTCTTTTTTGGTCTCCTATAAGGACTATAAGGGTACTATACGGGGGTTTAGGGTTGTGGGCTGGGTTTAGGGTTTAGGGTATTTAGGGTTTTATCTGGTTTACTACAGGGCTGATACGGCTTAGGGGCATCGTAGAGCTTAGGGTGTGTAGGATTTAGGGTTCTCAGGGGCTGCAGGATCATAGATTTCAGGATTCTTACAACAGGGCTGTTTACAGCTTCAAACTATGCACAGCTCAACAAAGCAGTTTCAACATACTTACACCCCCTCAAGCAGCTTCTGGACCCTAAGCCCTGAACACTCAACCCTCTACCCCCCTCCCAAAAAAAAACAAAATAAAAAGGTTGCAGAGAGCTGCCCGATTTGTGCGAAGGACTTTCTCGGCCTTGAAGTCACCTCCGCCGCCTACGACGCCACAACAGGGGGCCTTCACGTCCGAATCTCAGAGCACTCGTGGCACTTTCGGACTTACCTGAAGGCTCCGTGTAATGTATACAGGGGCCTAAATAATTTCCGATACCTTTATTGGGGGGTCTCCTTAATTTTGATATAGCATGATGCACCGCCAATCTTTATTCTAATAATCAAGGACCCTGCATTCTACAGCATATACTTAGGCTGTGAAGTGCTAGCCCCTTATACCTATGCCCGAGACCGTTCCCTTCAGCCCTAAACCCTCGACCTGTGGAACAACAGCATGGTGGTCTTCAACCTCTCCCTGAGCTTCGGGGTTGGATCTACGGGGCTTCACGCTCTTCAGGGCTTTAGGGCGACGACAGGGATTTCGGAGCATGCGAAGTGCAGACGCCACTACCAGAGTACCAAGGTGGTCCTACCGGTTTGAGCTCCCTCGCAACGAAGAAATGCAAGCTCCACGCTTGAATCTTTCAACTGCAAAGAACAGACATCCCCGACATTGAAAGGCAGATCTTCTTGTCTTCTCCTACCCCTTTGATTCACACCCGAGGAGTTCCCCTTAGAAATTTGATGCATCGCACAAGGCTTGCGTGTACGACAGCTGCTTGGGCAGACTTAGCCGACTTTGCTTTCAAGGATGTGTGCTTCCAGCAAGATCCGCCATAGAGTATATATTTTGGCCGCGAAGTACTCACATACAGGGGTTACTATAACATATTTACCACAGAAAGTACCTGTATATAGGGACCACTTCAAGGCCAACGTATAGAATTACCATATAAAGTACCCATATGTAGGGACCACGTTAAGGCCAAAGTACATACGATATGGGTACAGTGGAGCCTAAGGGGATCTTCGACCACAGCCCGCATCCACCATCTTTCAGCCTCCTTGCGGAAGCCCCACTGACAGACAAAACCCCACCTAGGATGCCCAGTAGTACCCTTATTCCCTTTTTGTAGTCCTAGGAACCTTATGAAGGTACCCAATACCAAAAGGGGAGCCCTTGTTATTCCTAGGCTACTGGGCATCCTAGCCACAGCCAAACGCCTAAACCTCACCAAACCCTAAACGCCCTAAACATACTTACGTCCCACACCCCCCCCCCCCCACTACCAGGCAATTGGTCCGGTCCATCCTCCTAGTCAGACCCTAAACCTCAGAGTCGAAATCATCAAGATGTTCTATGCTACGGAGACCTAGTGTTCGTAGGGTTGTAGGGTTTTCTACCTGGACCCAAGAAGTGCGCAGAATAATCTTATATGGGTACTGGGCCATTATCTTACCTACTTTGGGGGGGGTTAGGTATGGATCATTCTCAGAACCTACAATCCAAGTGTGTTATGATACCTAGACCTTCCATCTACCCTCTATTAAACCCTAAATGCCCCTTATTTGGGACCATATACCCCTATTTGAGGGCATAAGGAGGGTCCTGGTAATTTGAGGTAAACCATAAACCCGAGTGCCTGATCATCGGGCCCCCCACAAGAGCTCCAGCCCCCAAGAAACCCCCAAACCCCAAACCTTAAGGTAAAAACCAGAAAGTTGGAATATGGATTAATGGTAGGATCCCCTATAATTTACCTTAAAGGGGTTACGATAATGATATTCCAACTTTCTGGCTTCTACTGTAAGGTTAAGGGTTTAGGGGGCACCCTAGCCCAAAGCCCCAAGATGTTCTGTTCAAGCCGCACTCTCGGCTGAAACCCAGGGCCCTTTTGACATTTATAGGCCGGATCCCGAAGCTGAGTTGAGAGGTTTAGGGTTTAAGGTTCAAGACTTCCGATTTAATGTTTAGACTTTCTGGTTTAAGGTTTTTGATTTCCAAGTTAAGGTTTACCGGTTGAATTAGGGGGTAGGGGTCTAGGGTGTAGGGTCTACCGAAACACTCCCAACTGTGAGAAGTAGAAGGGTCAGGAGAAGTACTGCAGGTATCCCCTTACAGTCCCTTTACAGTTCATCAAGCTGTCTTACTGCCCAAAGCCTCAACACCCTATAGCGAGATATCGAGAATGTATGGAGGCTCCTGTATGATTCTACGCCAATCTTCCGCAGTCCCTGCACTTTCGGAGGCTTGAAAAGGTGGGATGAAGGTAGGTGGGATATTCCCAAATAAGAGTCCTTATATAACAAGGGATCCTTAATCCTACCGACCTTCATCCCACCTTTTGAGGCCTCCGACACTTCGCCGAATAAACCTCGAAGAACCTGCTTTCGAGCTTTCGGACCTGGGTTTACCCATAGGCCCCAAAGTAGTTCCGTTTTGGGATTACCGGCCTTATCCCGAAGGGTCCAAGTACCTAATAATCATATACTCTCCGAAATCCTTACCTACATAACTACTATCCTAAAACCCAGTGCCTTATTATTGGGTCCTTTGGACCCTTGGGGTATCGATTCTATATATGAACCCCAAAAAGGAACAGCTTTGGGCCTTTGCGTAGGGTTGAGGGCCTATGCCAAAGGAGTTGAGGGGGGGCAGGGAAGTAATTTGATTTCGGTTTGTGGTTTAGGGTTTAGGGGTTTAGGGTTTCGATTTCTGGATCTGCTACCGGAACTGTATCTGAGGCTGTTATGCTTCTGCGCACCATCTGAGAACCCTATGAATTCGACTTTCCTGGCAGTTGCAGCGTGCGTCCTGAGATTGCGACCCCAACGCGGCATCCCACGTCTTAAACCCTTATAAACCCTAAGCCCAAACCCTTCAGACTTCAGGTCTTCGGGCTCAGATGCATTTTGGCTACTAAACCCTAAACCCTAAACCGTTTTAAATGCCTGAAGCCTCAAGCCCGGCCTCGAAAGCCGGAGCTCACGGTCACACCACCCGCAACCCCAAAGCTCCACCCCCAAAGACACCCTAAAGGGTCCATGTAGCGAAATAGCATATACTTTGGCCACAAAGTACCTAAGCAGGGACTACATCTTTGCCAAAGTGTAATAATAATAATCATAATAATAAAAAAATAATAATTATTATTATTATCATAACAATAATAATAATAATGATACTGGGTACATGGACCTTCAGGACAAACTCCAGACATCAACCCGCAAGGCCCTGAAGCCCCGAAGCCCCGAAACCATCCTTCTAGGCTCTGCCAAGTCCGTGAAGATTCGCTTCGGGGATGCGCGCACGGCGGCTTCCTATGCAGTGCCCCAACGGCACCTCCAAGTTCAAGATCTCAGTGTCCGTCAGTGAGTCAGTCAGTCAGTCAGTCAGTCAGTCAAGCAGGCAGGCAGGGCACGCAGGGCACGCAGTCCATCACTGATTCATGCGTAAATTCGGTTCTTCATGTATGCGTTCAGTCTTTCATTCTGCATCCTTGTCCTGCCACTCCATCCCTCGATCCACCCGTCCATGCAATGATTCCTTTGTTCCTTTCCATTTTCCCATGCATTAACTCATTCATCTCTCCATTGGATGCCATCCATTCCTTCCTTCCTTCATCCATTCCTGTGTTCTGTCGTTAATCCATCAATTCGTTCTTTCATTCATTCATTCATTCAGTCAGTCAGTCAGTCAGTCATTCATTCATTCGTTCATTCGTTCATATCTTATTTCCTCCTTCCATCCGTTAGTTCATTTAATCTTTCGTTCATTCATTCATTGCTTTCATTCATTCATCATGCATGCACACGTGCATTGTTGCACACATACACGCATACATACAATCAAACCTGGATGCATGCACACGTACACACCTGCAAACATTCATTCATAGAAGCGGTCATTCAAGCATGCCTACATGCTTGCATACGAACCTTCACGCCTATGTACATGCATGCATACATACATACGTACGGACATATATAGCGCAGATACATGCACGCATGCATACGCGCAAACATACACACGTACACGCATGCATGCATACTTACAAGGCAATGCAACACGATACCGTACATTAACTACATGTCACTACAGTACATTGCAATATGCTATACACAGTGCAGAACATTACATAACACACAGGCCACACGCAAGACAAAACATACTTATGGACCAATCGTACGTACGCACATGCATACCCACATTATTTCATACAAGGGCTGATGTACTCGTACGGCCATACGCACTTGCAAGTTTGCATACATGCCGATGTTTACAGGCCTGAATACGTACATAGTGCACGCACCCATGCATGTGCATCGACATATAGGCGACATATAGGCATGTATCGAGATGCAGACGTATGACATGTTCGGATCGTGTTGACATGTGTCTGGCATTCTTGTATATGCTTGTATTCAACCCACCACCTTGTACTTAGCCCCCGGGAGCCTAAACCCCAAACTCTTAACTTGGAGATGCTAGGAGCGAAGACATTTTCGCGGTAACATGTTCATTCGGGTCCGCAGGCCGGAGACACATAATTGTCTGAATGGCACGCCCGAAAAAAAACGAAGGTCCTCCCGGGTGGCTCTTTAGCATCTGGTTCTCCGAATCCTCACACCTGGCACTTTCCGAAGCCCTGGCCTGGCAGCAAGGAAAGCTTCCACCCCCAGACTGTTGTTTTCAAGTTCCCGAACCCGAAACGCAAAGCCCTACTTACCTTTGAGGAGCCCTTCGTCAGGGTCCGGCTGAGCTCCAAGCCTTGCAATGTGTTAAGTTCATCATATTGTGTAGCTTCAAGATATGTTCGACTTGAGTCAGCTGAAAGCCGAAGCATGACTAGACAAACAATGATAACAATGTAGTTAATCCTAAACTAAGCCCGATACCGCATCGGAGAGCGGGCCTTTCAGGGAACGCTGAGCAGCGTCAGCGCAGTGGCTGCTGCTACTTTGCCTTGCTCTTAGTCCCATTGTTTTGGGTGGTCTAAGGCTGTTTCGGGCTTAGTGCTGTCAAGGGTTTTGGCTAGAGGGTTAGAAGATTCAGGTTAAAATTGCAAGGATTCTTCGTATTTGGGTTCGACATGAAGTTTGCATCTTGCGAGAAGACCTTCCACTGATGCAAACTCCAACATCCTGGAAAGCCTTCCAAGCCTGAACACCCTCCAGCACAGAGGACCCATAAACCCTTCAACTCCCCAACCCAGGTGACCTATCAGACCACAACTTACTAAGTTTGCAGGCAGCTCGTTTTTTCCGTGCCTACTCACGGCATCAAGGGCACAAACAAGCAAGGGCATCGCTGCATCAACGATAATATTATTGACACGACGCTACGACTGTACGAACTACGACGACCCTCACCACTGCTTCTGCTAGACCTTCTGCTGCTGCTTGTTGCCGGTGCTGCCAGATTGCGAAATAGTCCGAGGCTCCCGAAGCCTAAAACTCACAGAGCCTGAAGCTTTTAAACCGTCAGCATGAATGCATTAAACGCTCAAACCCAAGTTTACCCTCAAACCTGTTCCGTGATCTTCGGTGCGTTCCTTCTGGGCCCTGGACTCGATTCCCAATTTATTCTTGTACACAGTTCCTCTATGATAAGATGTCCTGTTTTTTGTTACATAGTTCTGCACCTCGATGCGCCTACAACACCTTCAATATCCCAACATCGTAGCAACAACATGAGGGATGTCCACTGTATGCTTGTACATGCATACATATATACATGCTTCAATGCCAACACGTACTCTAATACGTTGAGAACCCCGAAGATTCCTAGTGAGGGCTTTTTTGTCACCGTTCACCTTGTGGGGTAATACAGATCCCGTAACTCCCGAAAGCTGAGCCGCTAGTTCCGCTTGCAGCCTGGATAAGCATCCTGACCAAAGCTTGCATTCCTTCAGGAAGCTAGACAAGAAAGTTTGACTACAAACCTGGAAACCCTGAAGCCTTAACCTTGAACACGAAGCCCTGTAACCCGAATGCCTTAACTCTAAACCAAACCCATTGCGAGTTAGACCCAGGTCGGGGACCCAATCCCGAATATGTGGGCCACTGGCTCCTTTCACAAAGGCGTGCGACATCCGACGGGTTCTTGGTCTTGGGGTCTTTGGGTTTATATTAAGGTCGAGTTGGGCTTGAATGGTTCACTATAGGATTGAATAGGGGTTCATAGAGTTCACTATAGGGTTTGCTCCAGCGAGCAAGACGTAGGCACATAGACCACTAGGGCACAGATTGGGTTTCTGTGTGCAGAACTCTAGGGAGCTTCAGAAGGTGTAAGTAAAGTTGTACTGGTGCCTTGGGGGTTTAGGGTTTAGGGTGTCATAGCTTACCCATAGGCCCCATATAGTAGTTCCTTTCTGGGGTTCATATGTAGACTCCCAAAAGGTAATCCCAAAAAGAAACTATTGGGCCTATGGGTCGTCGTAGCAAGGAACCCTCCACACTAAGCCAATCCTCGGGCCTCCTGACTCCTAACTTTGGACCCCGAAGCTCAGCTGGGCTAGAGTAGAAACAACCCTGAAACCCAAAGTTGTCTCAAGGTTTCGGGTTTTAGGGTCTTAGGGTTGCAACACTGAAACCTAAACCCTACCTGCACACTCAACAACCTGCGCCTTTTCAGGGTTCCTTGCTCTGCGTTCTTTATACATAAGTCTGCAAAAAGGTAGGTTACTTGGGGTTCAGGTAAACCCTATTATAACGCGTAAACCCTCCAGCAAAGCCTTGCTAATCGAACCCAGGATTTGAAGGGGCTTTGAGTAATGTACCCCCGCAGCCCAACTGTAAGTATTAAGGCAGGCTTCTACCGAAGGACGATCCATAAGCAGCTGGGTCTCTTTGTGTTGTGATAACTCCGAAACGCATACTTAGCACACTGCCACTTTAGAGCATGCTTACGGGATCGCGGCTACGTCCCGACGAGATTTGGAGACCAGGGAATCCCACAGCATGATCCCACGTGCGATGAAGACTGCGCGTGTGCGCAAAACCCACAACGTCTTCTGGAAGAGGTGGAGGCGGAGCCCTAAACCCCTAAACCCCTAAACCCCTAAACCCTAAACCCTGAACCATGAACCCTAAAGGATGAAGCTTGAATTCTGGAAGCCTCTGGCCCGAGGCCCAAGGAAATTTCGGTCCATTTGGCCGGTGGACTCTGAAGCCTGACCTGAAGAATCCCGTGCACACATCCAGCTGGTTGTACATGCCGAAAACTAGAGCCCTCTAGAAATTGCTTGCCTTATCCGGCGCTCCTGCAGCCCTCCAAGAACCGTCACGAAAGACGGGGGCAAAGCCTTCACCAATATGTTTGAGAATCTTGCAGAAGACCAAGGTGCTTCTCCCGCCCGAACTCTCAACCTGAAGCTAGTCCATTTCATCATTCTTGCTAGATTAAGCTGAAAATTACAGTGGTCATTGACATTATTGCTACTCTGTTCATGAGTACGATCAAGGGGAAAGCCGAGAGACTGCAGGTGGACACGGGCTTCTGCGAGGATTATGGCTACCAAGCAATCCGCACTTCGGTGCCTTGCTGCGGCACCCCGAGCCCCCCCGTGTGCCAGACATGTCCCGAAACTATCTTTCAACATGCTGAGAGATACTCTTTGCCTATATGTCTGTGTATGTGTGTATGAGTATGCCAGTGTAGATGACTGTGCATACATGTATACACATACATATACATGTATAGATAAACATACACATGTGCCTATACATATACATTCACATATACGTATACATATACGACTACATGTACGTATACAGTATGCTTTATACATGAGACAATCGACATATACAGATACATATGTATACACGATTTGTACACATATACAAAAATTCACATGTATATACACGTGACTGTTTACGGAGAGGGTGTAACTTCAATGAGCATCAGGCAACACGAGCTAACAGGGGGGTCTGGCGAGGTTGACCTTGCTTTGTTGACGATGTCGGGTCTTTCTCTCGAGTTCAGGGCCGCTTTGCGTGCTATCGTAATGCTATGAAGCTTCGAATAGTTTTGCTGGGGCGCGTATATGACCTGCTGAGGGAACCTCTATCTAGATTATAAGCAAAGCCTTCCCGCTAGGACCCTCGGACAGCCAGCCTGTACAAGTCGGACCAAGCAGATGGCGTCTTCGGTTTTAGGCTGACTCATTGGACTAGTATTGTTCTGTTCTCTCTGTAGCCTTGGAACAGTAGCACCTTGCTCCGAAATCTTGCTGGACTTCTCCCGGCATGGATGGTACCGCGGCTGTTCCCTGGAGAAGCCGAGTGCGGAGGTTTCAGGCCTTCCCTGGCCTGAGCCTTGCCCTTACGTAGGCTTGTAGTATCCTTAAGGGAGGGGGGTCCAAGGGGGGTATATAGCCTAGTGATCCTTAATTCTCCCTAGTACTCCCTTAGGTTCCCTTACAGTCCCATAAGGATTCCTTATACCCTCCCCTCTTGAACCACCCTCCCTTAAGGATCCTATAACTCTAAGGACTCATACGTTTAAAGCCTTTGAGGGCCCAAGGATCACACTACATGAGGCCCTTTGCGCTATTTTGATCCTTAGGGTAAACCCCAAAGACCATGCTATATGAGGCCTGTGGGGCTATTTGATCCTGAGGGTAAGCATGTTCCCTGATACCTTAAGTTGGCGTTCATCTTCGTATTTTGCCATGCCCGGAAGATGGGGTTCCATGTCCAGTACGATCATCGTCGTAAGCAGCCCTGTGATCCTTGTTTAACGGCTACTATAAGGGCTCTATATAAGGGCTACGATAAGGGCTCTTCAAGTAGGTCCTACAGTACACCCAGCACCCCAAACCCTCAACCCAAACCCTGAACCTGTAGATCCCTAAACCCTAGATCAGAATCCCTGTGCCCATAACCCCAAGCCCGAAACCCTCAACTGTCGACCCTTAACCTTAAACCCTGTAAACCCTAGACCCCTAAATCCCGTACCAACCCTAAAAACCCGAGAAACCGTAAAGAAGCCTAAACCCCTAAAAACCAGAAAATCCCTAAACACCTAAAAAAAACCTAAACCCATTAAACACCACAATAAAAACCCCTTAAACTCAGCGAGGTTCACTGTGGTCTGGCGGCCCAGAGTCTGGGTATCACGCTGGCAGCGCAACTCGGCGAAGATGTGTTGGGCATGGGTTTAGGGTTTAGGGCTCCTTTCGGGGTTGCTTTAAGTACTATGAGTTATCTATAAGGGTACTTTAAGGGGTTTGGGGGTTTTAGGTTTCAGGGCTCCCCTTTCAGGGCTGTCCCCAAAGGACCGGTTTAGGTTTTAGGGTTAAGGACCTAATAACAAGGTACGGGGTTTAGGGTTTAGGGTTTAGGGCTCCTTTCGGGTTTGCTATAAATACTATAAGGGATCTGTAAGGGTTTAGGTTTTAGGGTTAAGGTAATAACAAGGTACTGGGGTTTTAGGGTTGAGGGTTTAGAGCCCCTTTCGGGTTTGCTATAAATACTATAAGGGATCTGTAAGGGTTTAGGTTTTAGGGTTAAGGACCTAATAACAAGGTACTGGGGTTTTAGGGTTGAGGGTTTAGAGCCCCTTTCGGGTTTGCTATAAATACTATAAGGGATCTGTAAGGGTTTAGGTTTTAGGGTTAAGGACCTAATAACAAGGTACTGGGGTTTTAGGGTTGAGGGTTTAGGGCCCCTTTCGGGTTTGCTATAAATACTATAAGGGATCTGTAAGGGTTTAGGTTTTAGGGTTAAGGACCTAATAACAAGGTACTGGGGTTTTAGGGTTTAGGGTTTAGAGCCCCTTTCGGGTTTGCTATAAACTATAAGGGATCTGTAAGGGTTTAGGTTTTAGGGTTAAGGACCTAATAACAAGGTACTGGGGTTTTAGGGTTTAGGGTTTAGGGCCCCTTTCGGGTTTGCTATAAATACTATAAGGGATCTGTAAGGGTTTAGGTTTTAGGGTTAAGGACCTAATAACAAGGTACTGGGGTTTTAGGGTTGAGGGTTTAGAGCCCCTTATAAATACTACAAGGTTTAGGTTTTAGGGTTAAGGACCTAATAACAAGGTACTGGGGTTTTAGGGTTTAGGGTTTAGGGCCCCTTTCGGGTTTGCTATAAATACTATAAGGGATCTGTAAGGGTTTAGGTTTTAGGGTTAAGGACCTAATAACAAGGTACTGGGGTTTTAGGGTTGAGGGTTTAGAGCCCCTTTCGGGTTTGCTATAAATACTATAAGGGATCTGTAAGGGTTTAGGTTTTAGGGTTAAGGACCTAATAACAAGGTACTGGGGTTTTAGGGTTGAGGGTTTAGAGCCCCTTTCGGGTTTGCTATAAATACTATAAGGGATCTGTAAGGGTTTAGGTTTTAGGGTTAAGGACCTAATGACAAGGTACTGGGGTTTTAGGATTGAGGGTTTAGAGCCCCTTTCGGGTTTGCTATAAATACTATAAGGGATCTGTAAGGGTTTAGGTTTTAGGGTTAAGGACCTAATAACAAGGTACTGGGGTTTTAGGGTTGAGGGTTTAGAGCCCCTTTCGGGTTTGCTATAAATACTATAAGGGATCTGTAAGGGTTTAGGTATTAGGGTTAAGGACCTAATAACAAGGTACTGGGGTTTTAGGGTTGAGGGTTTAGGCCCCTTTCGGGTTTGCTATAAATACTATAAGGGATCTGTAAGGGTTTAGGTTTTAGGGTTAAGGACCTAATAACAAGGTACTGGGGTTTTAGGGTTTAGGGTTTAGGGCCCCTTTCGGGTTTGCTATAAATACTATAAGGGATCTGTAAGGGTTTAGGTTTTAGGGTTAAGGACCTAATAACAAGGTACTGGGGTTTTAGGGTTTAGGGTTTAGGGCCCCTTTCGGGTTTGCTATAAATACTATAAGGGATCTGTAAGGGTTTAGGTTTTAGGGTTAAGGACCTAATAACAAGGTACTGGGGTTTTAGGGTTGAGGGTTTAGAGCCCCTTTCGGGTTTGCTATAAATACTATAAGGGATCTGTAAGGGTTTAGGTTTTAGGGTTAAGGACCTAATAACAAGGTACTGGGGTTTTAGGGTTGAGGGTTTAGAGCCCCTTTCGGGTTTGCTATAAATACTATAAGGGATCTGTAAGGGTTTAGGTTTTAGGGTTAAGGACCTAATAACAAGGTACTGGGGTTTTAGGGTTGAGGGTTTAGAGCCCCTTTCGGGTTTGCTATAAATACTATAAGGGATCTGTAAGGGTTTAGGTTTTAGGGTTAAGGACCTAATAACAAGGTACTGGGGTTTTAGGGTTGAGGGTTTAGGGCCCCTTTCGGGTTTGCTATAAATACTATAAGGGATCTGTAAGGGTTTAGGTTTTAGGGTTAAGGACCTAATAACAAGGTACTGGGGTTTTAGGGTTGAGGGTTTAGAGCCCCTTTCGGGTTTGCTATAAATACTATAAGGGATCTGTAAGGGTTTAGGTTTTAGGGTTAAGGACCTAATAACAAGGTACTGGGGTTTTAGGGTTGAGGGTTTAGAGGCCCCTTTCGGGTTTGCTATAAATACTATAAGGGATCTGTAAGGGTTTAGGTTTTAGGGTTAAGGACCTAATAACAAGGTACTGGGGTGTAGGTTGGAAGGGGCCCCCACCCTGTAATAGTGACTCTAAGGATTGCTATAGGGCCCGATTATATTCCTATTACACCACTATGAAAGGGTGGGGGCCCCTTCTAAGGTGTAGGGTTTAGGGCTCCTTTCGGGGTTGCTATAAGTACTATAAGGGATCTATGAGGGGTTTAGGCGGTTTGGGGTTTTGGGTTTTCGGTTTAGGGTTTAGGGTTTATTGTTGAGTGTTTCAAAGGGGGATTATAGTATTCCTGACTTGAATTTGAATCTTCATTGTTAGTAATATTTGTTGATATAACTGTTGTCATGCTGTCGTGATCATATTATAATGTGCTTCCAGAAGGGCTTCGGGTTTACACTATATAGACCTTAAGCCCCCCATCATAAGCTTCAAGCCCGAAGAAGAGCAACAACAAGCTGGTATAACATACAGATCAGAGCACAACTGATACTAATGATGAGCATAACTAACAAAGTTCTAGTGATAATGCAGACTCCCGCTATTGTTCCCAGTGCCTACAATTACAGTAAAGGTCGTAAGACTTCTTGCCGGGCCCAAAATCCCCAAAGCCTGAGTCGAGGCATTCCTCGTCCGCTTCGGCAGTGGCTCCTGGAGGATCCGTTTTCCCGGGTTCAGGATTTGAGGTTTGTTTAGGGTTCAGGGTTTAGGGTTTGGGGTTTAGAGTTCAAGGTTTGAGGTTCAAGTTTTGGAGTTTAGCTTTTAGGGCCGAGGGTTTGAGGCTTGGGGCTGACTGTTACCGGGCACTTGGGGTGTAATATAGGGAGCTGGGGGTTCCTTATCATAATTAAAGTATAAAGGGCCCCAAAACCCAATTCTAATTTGAAACGCTCCGCGTCGTCCGCCTCGGGCCGGCTGTACGCGCATGCGGCGAGTGGCTACTATCTGCAGCAAGCTCTTGTAGGAAAAAAGTAACAGTTGGAATCGAACTTATAGTAAAAGTAATGTTCATAGCAACACGAAGCAGGATGATTGTGAGTAGTATTAGTAGTGGTAGTATCAGTACGAATTTTGGTGTCGTCATTCCGAAACACTGGATACCAAGACTCTCGCAAGCGGCGGGATGCCTTAAGTATGGGCCGTTGAGGCTGTGGATTTCGTGGGCGTCTTGGATTAAAGGCGAGCCCCAACACATAAAGATGCTACATTGCAGTCCCGTGTCGTCGAAAACTCCAGAAAGCTCGCACCTGTCAGCGAGCGGAGGAGGGGCGGGAGGGAAGGGGGGAGGGGGGGGGGGGGGGGGGGGGGAGGGGAAGCGGTGAAAATTGGGTGGGACTGCCCACAGAAGCCAAAATCCGTTGATGGAATCCGAATAGGAGCCTCTGACCGCTTCGGCCGGGGCCGAGGCGAATTATTAAGGCCCCTATATTATAGCAAGGCGCTGGTTTCCAGGAGATGTCCCACGCTAGAATTGCATGTGCCCGCCAGCAATTAGCATTGTCAGGACGTTATGCCAGCCTTAAGTGATACAATACAGTGTTTCAACACAGCCACGCTTTGCTAGAACAGATTCGAGGGTCTGTTGTTTCATGATTATCTGTTGGCTTAAGTTACTTGTTACTTGCAAGCGTGTGTCAGACGAAAGTTTTGGCTAGCACTAAACCTTAAACTGTTTATAAACCTCAGCCCCTGACCCTAAATTGCTAAACAGGGTAACTATAGGATATGATAAGGTAACTACGGAGAGATGATGCCGCAGTTACGATACTCTAACCTTTCTTACTGTGTACCCCGATCCGCGAAAAGTTCTTAAAGCCCTGCAGAACCCTGAAACTGAAACCCTAAACTCCTAAATCCTGAACCCCTAAACCACGAAATCCCTAAACCCCTAAATGAATCCCGGGCTTAGTGCCCGGGCCTCATGTCAGTGACCAGGCTGCTACTATTTCACGACCGACAGCAGCGTTCGGCTGAATCAGGCGCAGTCTGCCAAAGGGACGCTTGTCTTCGATACGAAGGGGCAGTTCTGCTTGAATAACTAGCCAATACTATGCCGTAGGGTTCCTTGTTTGAACTCTACTATAATACACCCCGTAATCCCATTCTCATAAAGATGGGTTCCTGCAAGGTTACTGCGCGGCGGGCCGCTCCATTAATTACATGCAATTCGAGCTTCATGCCCGAGCCCTCGACCTCGCTTGCCACGCCCGACCCATAGGCCCCATAGTAGTTCCAAATCGGGGTTCATATGTAGACTCCAATAAAGTAATCCCCCAAAAGGAACTACTATGGGGCCTACGGGTAAGCCCTAAACGTCCCTGAACCATGAACCCAAAATCAAAGGCATCCGAAAGCCCTAATTAAAACTCAAAGCTCAAGCCATATGCCACGCAAAGGGTTGAGGGTTTGTAGCTTTAGGGTAAACGCCAGGGAACCCCAAGACCAAACGGTTTTCGAGACCGAGGAACGTGGCGGCCAGCACTTTACAGTTGCTTTGCCAGCTTCCGGGAGCGTGCTACGAGCAGCTTGGCTTGTGTCGAACGGTTTTCCAAGGAGCACTTAACAAGATTTTGAGGTTTCGGATGTACAGAGTTCTGGAATACTGGGCTTCTAGGACTCTGTAGGGTGTAGTGCCCTGAAACAACCCTCAATCTCAGACCTTCAATTCCTAAACGCTACAGCCTTTGAAACCCGAGGGCCGAAAACTCCGGCCCAGGCTGAGATTCTATGATATGGTATAAGATACTCTACAAGCCGTATTCCAAGTATGATGGCCCTATACTAGGGTCGAAAGATGAGGTTCTATGTGACTTACGACGATGCCAACATGATCGGAACGTCGTCGACGTCGCAGCGCCCTGGCTCTCATTCCGAGGGGGTCGGATCCTCGAAGAAACTGAACATTTCCTGACGGGTCCATGAATCCAGATAGTATGCACTTCGAGCCTAACGTACTTATGTAGTAGCGACTTTGGCAATGCCAATGTATATGCTATATGAGCGTATGTAGATCGGGCTTTGCTGGACTTCTCCGGGGTTTTACAGAACCTACGCCACGGACAGAGTCAACGGCCCACCGCTGCTTCTCGCTAGGCGGTATTTGGAGGTGTTGCTAAAAAGGATCCCTGAAAGGAACCCCTAAACCCTTATAGTACCTTGACAGTATCCCTTATGGATCCCTTTTTGGAATCGCTAGCTACTCAGCCAGCCACCAGCCTCCTTCGCCTGTTAATCTCCTTGAAGCGGATGAAAGAGCGGGTTGGGACAAAGGTTTCAGGATGCAAGCAGCCGTAATTTGTCGCCTCCTGCGCAGGGACACCTGGGGCGAATGTGGCTGGGCGGAAGTATGCATGTGTTTTAAAGTTTCTGACGCCCAAAGACTCGAAATTGGCCCAACCAAACTTCTCTCGAGCAATTCATCTGAAGCCTGGACTGGCCGTCCTCGAGACCGAAAGCCCAAGCCCTCTAAAGCAGAAGCTTTCGTGTTCCATCGTCGTCGGTACCAGTTTCATATATTGAGTGCTGCATACCAGCGAAGTCTACATGCTATGGCTTTATGTTTGGGGCTCAGAATACACGGGCACGGTCTGAGCTCTGTTTAGAAGATTAGACACCTTTCTCAATAAGACAGCAGAGCGCGTGTCCTCGTGACTTATTGACAGATTATTCGTGCTTTGCAGGTCTAGGATTCGGGATTGGGATTTGGGTTATCGTACCAGGTTTCCAGGCATTGTCTCCTTCGTGCAGCCATGAAATCTTCCTCAGCCCCAAAGCCAAAACCCCTCAATCCTCAAATCATCCTAAGCCTGAGTGGGTAGCCTAACTGGAGCCGGGAGCACCTTTAGCCCCAGACCTTATTGGGCGGATTGCGTGCCGATTGCTGCAAACCTGAGTGCACAGCATCTCGGGTGCTCACTTGTCGAGTTGGCACATGTGCTACCTATCTGGGTGGTTGTCAAAAAATATGGTCCCTTTTGGGGTCCTTAGTATAATACGGCACCTATTTAGGGTACCCAAAAAGGGACCTTATATAATTTGACAACTACCCATCTGGACGACGATAGCTTGGTCTCTCTGACGCTATTCATGCCTCGCGGAGATCCCAAGTCATGGGAACTGGTGAGTGTGCTTTCTTTCGCGAGACGCAACTTGGTGTTACATCCCATCAAGACGTTGTTTGAAGGGTTGAAGACTCCGGGCGAATTGCGCTCATGAATTTACTTCTCCAGGATTCAGCCCCAGTTCATTATGATCCGATCTATGATGTGGAAACTGCACGACGAGATCTCGGCAGCTCGTGCACGCTACAAGCCGCTACAACCGTCAGACGACTGCCCTCTTCTGGTGACGATGAAGAACGAGCCGGGACAACTTTGCCCAGCTGGCCACTCTAGCACGTCCCGGGAGAGTAGGAACCTGATTAAGAAACCCTGGGTCTATAACCCCCAAAATAGTAGGATCCATCTAAGGAGCCCTAATAAAGGCCCAAGGTTTCTTAGTCAGGTTCCTACATTATCTTCAAGCCGGGGCCGCTTGCTGGATTGCTTCTCCAGATGATAACCTACTACAGGAAGTCGTGGGGGCCCTCCGGGTCCTTCAACAGAGCTGCCACGGTTCAGGGTTTAGGGTGGGTTTAGGGTTTTGGGTTTAGGATTTAGGGTTAGGGTTTAGGGTTTAGGGTTGGGGTTTAGGGTTTAGGGTTTCGGAACTCCCAAGTAAGTCCCTGCTCTTCGTGCTACATTGTGTGGGTACTCCAAGCATTGGGACTTGCAGCTCTGTCCAACTCGCTCCTCCCCTCGAAAATTCTAAACGCTAACCATGCAGAAGGAAAACGGCCCACAAAACAAAAATAACTAAACCTTAAACTCTAAGCCCTAATAAACCCTGCATTAGGCTTAGGGCCACAAGAACCCGGAGAGTGAGTCGAAAGCCGGATCTGAGAGCATTTATCTCGTTTTTGGCTGAGTTGTGGGCTTAGGGCTTTAGATGTTTTTATGGCTCCGGGGCCTAGGCCTCTATGGTTTCAGGAATGTTTGAGGTAGGGCTTGTTTAGTTCATAGGGGGGTTTTAGGTTCTAGAATTAGGGTTGAGGGTGCAGGGTTTGTTGGATTTGGAGCTCCAGGTTCGTCCCTACAGGAGATCAAACCGCACATAGCCGCTAACTTGCGGAACATCTCTGTAGCAGCCCAAAATAGACCAAATCAATCCCGTGCAACCCACATCAAACCACAGACCCCACATAGAGCACACAGCTAAGCCACGAACGAACACATGTAGGAAGCTACATGGCAGCATAGCCCCTACAGTCGCTACATTCAGCATAGGCCCCCAGGCCTAGGCCCCAGACGTTAACCTTAAACCCTAAAAAGCTCGAAACTTCGAAACCCTACACCCCTAAACCCGAAACCTTAGCCGCCCATATATGAAGCCCGAAGGGCTTTCACACTTCCACGTTACAGGTATGAGCTCATGTGCTGCATCGTCGACATGCGGCGTTTGGACCTATGACATCTCCAGCAAGGCAGCGGGACCTTCAGAGAAAACTGTATAGCCCTAAGGCTGTAAGGACTCATATTTTGAGGCTTTTGGGCCTAAAAGACCATCTTACATGAGGCTTTTGGGCCATTTAGAGCCTCAGGGTAGTACAGTTTTTAAATTTTAATGATGCTTAACGTTTGGGGTTCGAGGGCTAAACCTACACGCTAACGCGAAGACTGTGTAGTGGTTTCAGGTTTAGGGGTCGAGGGGCGTGGGGCACTGTGGGTTTTTGGCCTTGGAATTTCGTGGGATGTACCATGCTTGGACCAGGGGTAACGGATATACTGTTTCCCTGAGGGTCCATGTACCCCAACAATATATACTTTGGGCCCAATGTACCTGTATAGTGAGTACTTTAAGGCCCAGTATATATTATTTGGGTTCATGGACCCTTAGGGTTTGGGCAGATGGAACCTGAGCTGTGGTGATCTTTCCACGCGGCACCGTCTCCGCGGTCTTTCTGGTGCCTTCGCCTCCTCGTGTTGGGGTGCGAAGGTTGAAGGAGACCGGAACCTGAACTCTAAGACCCAGGTGACGGAATTGAAAGGTCTCCTCCTAGACCCGCCATCTACCCTCTATTATTAGACCCTAAATGCCCCTTATTTGGGACCATATATGTACCTTACAAGAAGGGTCCTGGCTGTTGCAGCATAGCCGTCCATGTCGATTTCGTGATACGGGTTTTTCCATCTAGAAGTCAACCACCTCTAAGGAACCAAATCCGGAGACCCGAACCCTGGACTTGTTTGGGGCTTCAGAAAACAGCATGCCAGTATATTAGGGGTTTATGGGTTGGTTTAGGGTTTAGGGTTTAGGGTTTAGGGATAATGGGCACCAAAGTCCAACAATCGCAGTTTGTCAGGCCTGCAAGATCTTCACTGCTGGATCTGCAGGCTTGTCGGGGAAGGGTGCGGCACGGTTAGGGGCTTGGGATTCATGTAGACCTGAATGCTTTGTGTGAGTGTGCCATATTCGGTAACTTGAGGAGGAAGCTTAACATACTTCTTGTCCGCATGGTCTTCTTACTGATACGGTTGCAGGTGGAGTACAGTCTCTACACATGGTTGTCAGTATCAGTAGCCAACATACTTGAGCTAAAGGCCATGCAACCGAAAGTTCAGTCGACAACGGCAGCTCCTAGCTGTCCGACGCGTTGGATGGTTGTGTCATCGAACTTCCCCAGGACATGTGACACTGAATCGTTCCTCATGTGAGATCTACTCAACCCTAAAATGCTCTTATCCTCAGACCCGTCAGCCTACCCTACCCCAAGTGTCCCAAGTCCTGCTGCGTAGAATTCCCCATTGTGACCACGGCAAGCCTGCGACGCGACCCCAGAAGCCGGACCTTTATGTAAAGCTACTACGAAGATAAAGAAGCCAGTATGCAAGGCTTAGGGCTCCAGTAACCTGAATAGTAGGTTTACCAGGGTATAAAATATCCGGTTAGTAACCTACTATTTAGGTAACTGGAGTTCTAGGCCCCAAAGTAGTTCCTTTTTGGGTTCAGATGTAGAATTCTATAAGATAATCCCCAAAAGGAACTACTTTGGGGCCTCTGGGTAAGGCTACCGTAGTTGTCGCTTGGCGTGTTGTGAAGCCAGGAACAGCATCGACGGATGCTAACCTGATGTCTGGTCCACCCTTCTGCAATGCGCCCTGGCATGAAATCTCTCTGGTGCTCTGAGGATATGGGAGTTTCCGAAACTTAGGGGTGCCGTATTTTGGGGTCCTTATATTCAGGGTCCTATTATTTAGGGTACCATATTAGGGTCCCCTATTTTCGGAAACTCCCATATAGTGCTTCGATTACATTAAAGCTCCAAGTGATGTTTATAGTCTTTATGGTTCTAAGGGCGCTTAAGACATAATCTTGACCCCAGAATAACCACCCCTCCCCTAAGGGGCCTCATATTATTCGTATCCCGGTGTGAATCTCTTTCAAGGCAGGAGGCGTGTGTCTACATGAGTCGTGGGGTGGTGGGGGGAGCTAGTATTCAAGACTTCGGGTTGACTGCAGGTCAGGGGTTTCGGGTTGAGGGGGTTTCAGGGTCTGGGTCTCTGGCGACCTCTTTATCATCCCTGTTTCTGTCTAGTTCTACCAGTAGGTCTCGCCACAGTTTCGCGAGAACGCATGTGCTTGTGTCGTTTTTGTTGAGAGTGAGTTCCTTTGTCGTTCTGCTTGTTGTCAGGCTTGTTTGTTTTTGTTGCACTGCTCGATTGTTCTCGGCTTCGTCCTATATTGACACTTGGTTGGGCCAGCTGGTCACGGTGTGAAATATCGTATGCTTCACGAACCGACGCTCCTTGGGTTTGTCAACTTCCTGTCTTCGTCTTACTCTCTTCAACTCTCTCTGTCTGTCTCCCTCTCTCTCTCTCTTTCTCTCGCCATCTCTCTGTAATTCGAGCAATTTCTGCTGCGCTTGCAAGGCTGCTGGTTCGGGTCATTTGGGACTGAAGATTAGCCCCAAGAACTTTGTGCATCATGCTTCGTAGACTCCGGCGCACATCCTGGGTTCTCGTCTGTCAGTCTATCAGGACATGCCGGGCGCCGTTTGCCTCTCAGATGTGGCGGCAGCAACAGGCATGCGGCACGAACACATGTTGATGCGTTCGTTAGATTGTTTTCGGGGCTGTGAATACTTTAGTATTTTATTACTTCAACTACCATGGAGCGGCCGCGACCCAAGCAGGAAGCCATTGATATCCTAATAGGTTTAGGGGTACTAAGAAGAGAGACATGAGCTGCATGGTGATGGAGGTGGTGATGGTGACGAGTCAGGGTTTCGGGATGGCAGTGATGAATGACAATGCTGGCAGAGCAGTTTCTGCTGCTGCTGATGGTCGTCATGATGATGATGTTGGTGATGATGATGATGAGGATGATGATGAAGAGGATGAGGAGAAGATGACGATAACGATTTGGCGTTGATGGTGATAGTAGTGGTGATGATGATGATGGTCATCCGGATGCTGATGTTGGTGATGACGGTGCTGCTGACGATGATGGTCGAAACGGCGATGCTTCTGAAAGGGGAAGCTGCTCGCAGTCACGGAGAAGCTGACGAAAGGTTGGGTTTCGATGCTGACTGTCTCGGCAGTCTGCAGACCTTCAACCCCAAAGCCGAAACCCCCCAAAACCCTTCATTGTCAACCCCCGAAGCCCCATTCAGCCCCAACTCCAAATCCCCAAATTCAACCCTCAACCCCTACACCCCTAAACCCGTAAACTCCTACTAAACCCCTTAACCCTGAACCCTAAAACCCCCAACCCTCACAGGCTGGAGCAATGCTACGTGCCAGTCGCCACTTGCTGGACGCTTCGTGGACATTTGGACCCGCGCCCTGGCTGTCAGAGTCCCGGGATCCTCTTGGAGAAATTAGTTTGTTTAGGGATTTAAGGTTTAGAGGTTTAGTGGTTCAGTGGTTTAGGGGTTCAGGGTTGAGGTGTAGCGCTGGGAAGCTTTGCATTGTAACTTCGCTCTTCGGTGTCTTCCTTCGATGCTGATGGTAGCCGAATGCCGTAGAGTGTTCGCCTGTTGCTCATCGTTACTTCGCCGCTATAATCTGAAACTTGATCGCCACCACCAAAAGGTGCATAATCTGCATGTAGTGCAACAGCGGCGAGACTTTCGAACTCGACGATGATAACATGAGGTGCACATCATAATAACCTTCCCGATGCTGCTGGTGATGCTGCTGTTGGGAGACACCTGAACCCACACCGGCTTGCAAAGATTACAATCTGCTCGCCCCTTTCAGACGTTTGTCAACAAGGTACCGGTCTTTCATGTCCCCTGCCGTTTGATGCAAAACCAATCCGCAAAGGAGAGGCCTCGAGCTCCATGTCCGTCTGCGAGGTGGAGGTGAGCATGAGAAGAGAGGGGTCCAAGGTTTGTTTAGGGCCTAAGGTTGAGGGGTCCAAGATTCATTTTCGGCTTCGTGTCTGTGCGTGTTGGTATCTGCCTGCGTTCACGTTTGGTTTGTGTGTGTGTCGGCGCTTACAATTGTAAGCAAATCTGTGGATGCAGTAAAATGGTGCGTGTAACTACCATCTTTGTTAATTGTATGTATGTGCAGGTGTGTGTGTGTGTACATATATATATATATATACGGATGGCTCGTAATGAAGTGCACCTGTAGCATCATGACCCGATACCTCCCGTCTCTACTTCATGATCTGTCGGATTACAGTGTGTTGCACATTGCCGCGGCCAACGAAGGGCCAGGCCACAGTGGGAACAGTGAGAGTGCATTGCATGATCTGTATCTCTAGGTCTATCCACCTGTCTCTCATTTCTCTGTCTGCTTCTCAATCTATCTCTGCATCTATCGATCTTGTACCTAGACCTACCTACCTACCTACTTGCGCTTTTTGTGTATGGGTCTATTTAACGCTATCAAATCTATCTGCCTATCTACTCGCAGCCTCCAGACCTAGCGCTGCAATTCCCGGACACAGCCCTTTCAAAGACATTGTAATGCCCGTATAAAGACCAGAAAACACATCCTCATAACTCCTGTTAGAACTCCTACCAGCCTCAATATACGACCTAAACAGCGCGCGCAGCCTTATAGCGACCCACAAAGCCTTACACACCCCCGTATCAAACCTGTACAAGCTGTATTGACAAGAAACTACATACTGCAGCCTTTGCGAGCTTTACAGAGCCTTCTAACACCCCATACAGCCCTTATCACACAGTTCCCTGAGGGTCCATATACACTACTATTATGGAATTAGGCCCTACAAGACCATGCCCATTATGGTTTTGGGGACCCAATTCCATAATAGTAATGTATATGGACCCTCTGGGGTTGTAAACCGCTCATGAAGCAACGCCCTTCCTAGCCCAAATACCTTGCAAAGCCGAAGGGCCCTGCAAGCTCAGCTGCCCTAAAGCTGCGCTCTTGCTCAGCTCTTAAAGCAACCCTTACAAAGAAACCCTGATCTCAACCAGGACCCCCCAAGAGGGCCCTTTAATGGAGTCCTTATGGCCCCGAAGAAGGTCTGGCAAGTATATTAGAGGGTAGTTGGGGGGTCTAGGAACGCATCTTCGGATCAGGGATTCCGGGGTTCTGGCTTCGCCAGGTTTGGGGAGGCCTCGCCCCAAAGATGCCGACAACCTTTCAGTATCTTGGCCCTGGTTATGTTGGGTTTTGGGGTTTTAGTTTCTTTTTGTTTAGGGGTTCGCGCTTTGGGTCTAGAGCTTAGGGTTTAGAGTTTGGGGTTAAGGGTTTGTTGGGCACTAGAAGGAGGTTGTTGTACCTGGTCTTCTAAAGTGTTCTGAGGGTTTTGCTGAGCTCTATTTATTTACTGGGTGTTGCAAGGGATTCGAAAGGTTTTCGTACCGGTTTCATTTCGTCAGATTTGAAGGTTCTGAGATTTGTTGTACGTATAGGGATTAGGGTTAGGGATCCGGAAGCCAGGTGGTCATGCAGAGCCAAAAGCATTTTCTTCTGCGTATTTTCGTGCAGACATTTGGGGTTTAGGGTACGTATATCAGTATATCTTGTGTGTCCTGTTATAGACTCTACACTGTTGATGCCGTATACTGGGGCGACTTAGTATCGACAGACTGTGGAGACCGAGACGCTCGGTATTGCAGGTTCGGGATTCCAAAAAAAGACCCCCTGAACACTGAACCCTAAAACACGGTCCGTTGCCAAGGATCGATGCAGGTTGCACAGGGGCGAGTATCTCCGGCGTCTCGACATGGTCTTAGTATTAGTATTAGCATCCGTATGATATTTGTCTGCAAGACTTTTTCGATTCCTGAGATTGCAAGCCTCCGCCCGACAAGTTCAGGGACTGTAAGTCTCCGAACTTTCCAAGGTCAGTCCCAAGCGTTGATGTAATGAGCTTCGCATCTCAAGCAAATCAACAAGTCCTGAACCTCAAGGCACAAGCCCGACAACCCCATTACACAGGGGTAAAGCAAAACACTTAAGCAAATCCCTGATCCCTAAACCATGCAAGCTTTCAAAACACCGCTGATCACAGCAGCTCATGCTGGCTCCCAGACGGCTTCTCTCATCCCCATGTCCTGTTTGCGGTTTAGGTTTGAGTGCTTGGTTCGAGAGCCGAGGCTGGGGTCACAGTGCAAAAGCCTTCTAGTCAATCACAAAATCTTAGCTGCGACTGGGACGAATTTTCGGCCACACCTTAAACATTCCAATGAGCCATATTCACCGGAGCCGGTGGAAGAAGGCCCCGACTGAAGATGTCCTCACTTCCGGTGGAAGGCTCCAGGCTATCTAAGCGACTAAGGTTTCTGTGGGTCACTAAGCATAAACCCAAACCCCCAAACCGTGGACCCGTACCCTTCTACTTTGCCGGAGCCGGAATGGTGCTGAGGAAACTTCATCTTGAACGCTGACTTGAATGGCTACCCGGCGTACCACTACCCGCAGGAGGCCTTCTCCGGAGGGTTTTAGGGTTTAGGGTATGTGTCCCATAGACAAGGACTCCATGAGGGTTTAGGGCCGTAAGTTAGTGTGCAAGGATTACGGGCTTCTATGACCTGCTTCAGGCAGATATCAGAGCCGAAGGAGAGATGTCTGCAGTGTAGAACCATACACTCTGCGCAGGGGGTCATGTGTATTGAGGTAGTATATGCTGATGCATATTCTCACACAATGATAAGAAGTTAAGGTACTAACTTGTGTCCTTAGCCACTAACCCCTCTTTTTTTCCTCCAAACTGGCTTGTACTCTGGAGCCCGAGTCTCTACCCACACATCCTTCAGCGCACGTGGGTGTTTCCGAAAACGGGGACCCTAACATAGTACCCTAAAGAATAAGATCCTCATAATAAGGACCCCAAAATAAGCCTAATTTTCGGAAAATCCCATTTAGTATATACTTAGGCCCTAGCGGTTCTTATATAGGTGCCTCAAGGCCTAAGTATATACTGTATGACCATGGATACATGGAGCCTTAGATCAACACCTAGATCAATGCAGGCCCTGGTAGCGTCGTCAGAAAACCCAGGCAAGACATGTCGATGAGGGCTTAGGGCTGAGGACTTAGGGTTTAGGGTGAACTCCGTCATGGGCGGACTAAGACTTCCACCCGAAAAGAAGGAGACTGGCGTTCTGATCTGCCAGCATCGAGAGAAGATACCTTCTCCGGACGCCCTGAATACGTCCAACCATGGAAGAGTTTTACTGCGTTGAAGCTCCCACTGTGAAAAAAGGCAGGCAATGGAACTGCTGACTAGCCGCACATTAATCACGTTCGAGCTTGAGATGTGATTCTGTTTAGAGCTCTCGGCCTATACCGGGGCATGGAGACGACGTTCACGATCATTTTCCTCGCGCTCGCAGTCTCGTCGGTGGATGCCCCAGCTTCAATGGAGCTTCAATCAACCGAGAGATTCACGCAGCAGGCTCTTATTTGAGGTGCAGGGTCTGCTCGCATCTTAGAGCCCCGTTTGTCGATCTTCCTCACATCAGCTGACCCGTATCTGGAAGGGATCGCGCGTATAAGCAGGAACCATCCATCCAGAAACCACAATACAAATCCGAAGACGTATGGCAGTCGCTAAACCCTATAAACCATAAAACCCAAAAACTTAAACCCAAATCCGAAGACGTATGGCAGTCCCTAAACCCTAAACCATAAAACCCTAAAAGTTAAACCCAAATTAAACCCAAATCCGAAGACGTATGGCAGTCCCTAAACCCTAAACTTTGCCTAAACCATAAAACCCTAAACCTTAAACCCAAATCCGAAGACATATGGCAGTCCCTAAACCCTAAACCATAAAACCCTAAACCTTAAACCCAAATCCGAAGACGTATGGCAGTCTGTCTACGCCGCCTCCACGGGACTCGAGACGGCGACTTTCGCCTACGAATCGGAGCTCGAGCGATGGGCAACTTGCCTGTGAGGACTTTGGTTCCATACTGGGGTGGTTGTCAAAATTCTGGTCGCTTTTTGGGTACCCTAAATATTAGGTGCCGTATTATAATGAGGACCCAAAAGGGGACCATAATTTTGACAGCCACCCACTAATTATCAGGTCAACGTGATGGTTCAAGGGACAACGGTTTAGGGCACTTGCCTTTGACAATTGGAGGCCCTTGAGGATGTTGGTAGCTTCTAGGTTTTGTAGTGTACATATTTCGGAGTTTTGAGGGTTCATTGAACTCGTAGGGTTTATGAGTTGATAGTTAAGTAAGGGTTTAGGATGAGATGCTCCTTTGCTTTTCGGCCAGGGGTTTGGGATGAATGGAATGCACAGGACCTTCTCCCCTCGCATCTGGATGACTTGAGGGCTCTATAATGTTCGAGATACGGGGCCACTCGCTGACTTTTTGCAACGACCTTCCTATATGCACGAACCGTTCTACCCCTCGGTAGATAGAACATCTCACTGAAAGCCACGAACCGCTAGACCCTAAAGCCCTAGCCCGGCGCCCCAATTTTTTTGCATACCTGAAAATAGCAGGGAGATGCCCAATTTCTGAAATGCCCCATGCTTCAGGAATCCTGATTATGTGTTTGCTTCTTTTGGGGCAGGGTGGGGTTGGGATCGTCGAGCTTCGTGATTAGGCTTTGGGGTCTAGGCTTCTGAGTTTCGGCTGTCCGGTCGAAGGCTGCTGTTGGGGCAATATAGGCGCCTTAATATTTACCTATACTAGTTTGGGGCTTCCGTACTATAATTATAGTATACTATACCCCCAAACCCTATTCTAATTGTTAAGGCCCCTATATTACTGCATGCGGCAGCCGTTGACTAAGACACTGTCCACCACAAACGGGAACATCTCTTACGCCTACACGGCCTCGACGCTCCCGGAAGCAGCCAGCGCCTTATAATTGGGTATGGGGGTGGTGATGACTTCGGTGTGGGGGCCAAATAAGTAAACTAAGAGAGCCTACCGCCCTGTACGGATGACTAGCTGAAAGGCCTATGTCTGCGCGCTTGTTTGGCTCCTCCGTCGAATGTCAAGCAATCAGTTAAATGCTTCGGCTGCGGAGTCTTTCTTCAGCTTCTCGGCATCGATTTCTTCGTTCTTGTTATATGATACACACGTGGAGTCCTTTAACTGGTATAGTTGCAGCTTCTGCAGGGACTTTAGGAAGTAGCTGTGCAACTGTTCCCCTATGGCAGCTCTCGCCTGCAACCTTTGGACTCGAAACCTTAGACCACCGCCAGCCGCGACCTAAAGTAAACAAACCCAGCCCATGTACCCATATAGTAGGTACTTAGGCCTTAAACTACCTATATAGGGACCCCTTTACGGCCTAGGCACCTACTACATGGGTACATGGAGCCTTGGGGAAAGCCAAAATGATTGGTTTCTTTGTTGCTCAGGTACTTTGGAACTAGGAAAACCCGAGACCTAAGATTTCAAAGCCCAAACACCAGAGTACCGAAATCTTGTTAAGACCCCCTCACAGAGTTCCGACTAAAGGGAAAGAAACCCATGTCTGCCAGGAGAGCATGATGCCCGGGTTTACGGTTGAGGGTTGAGGTAAAAGGGATGATTGGTTTGGGGTAGATAAGGGCTTAGCATTGACAGGGTTTCTACAATCTGAAAAGGATTTTCAGACTTAGTAAGAGCCAAAAATCCAGAGCTGAGTGTTGATGAGTGTCGTCGGGCCGGGGCACTTCGTGAGCAACCTCAATGTACATGCAGAATGTCTATCAAACCCTTACAGTGTCTTACAGGGCATGTAAGCCCTAAACCTCTGAAGTGTTGGGTTTAGGGTCGGGGTGCCTGCATTCCGAGTAGAGTCTACTGGGCATGGAGAAGTTCTTTGGCCCGCCAAGCAGAATCTGTGGAACCCTAAGTCTAGGGTTTAGGGTTTAGGGATTTTGAATCCCGAATCACCGCAAACAGGCTTGAGGGTTTCAGAGGAGTTCAGGAAATGATTGCGACGGGATTGCGGGTACAAGATGGTGCAAGCACAGTTGTGCGCGGGTGTAGATGTTTTCGGGTATCTGCCAGCGAACACACGAAAAGGCCGTACGGAATCTTACATAGGGAGTCCACTCCAAGACTGAACCCAGCTTAGCTGAGGTCGTTTATGAAGGATTTCTACCAATTCTATCCATTCCCTCGAGGTCTTTGGCCTTATTGTTCCTATATAGGCACCCCTTTAAAAGCAAAGTATAATGCGTGTGTATGTATATGTGTATCTCATATAGAAATATATACACATACATATGTACGTTTCTCGGTTTGTTTGTTACAATTGTTCATACTTACGTCTACATATACCTACATATACGCACACATATGCTCACTCATACACACATACATGTCTATATAGAGAGAGAGACAGCGAGAGAGAAGAGAGAGAGAGAGAGAGAGATATCTATATATATATATATATATATATATATATGGATATACATTCATGGATAATGCTTTGTGAGTCCCTGGACCTTCGGGTTGCTCAATAATAGGATCTTATAGTGCTGTGCTTCGCCTCCGCCTTCGCAGCTCAGAGGCTCGAGCCCCGGTCCCAGGTGCTTGGCCTGGGGTGTCGGGGCCCTTTTTTTCCGCGAGCTCCGAGCTTCGAGCCCCGAAATCCGAAAGACTCGAAGGCTAAACCGGAAGCCCTACTTGAGAATACCAGGGGACTGAGTAAGAAATGTTATTAGAATAGAAAGGGCTTGAATTTATTTAGGATTATAAGAGAGATTAGAATTATAGTCATACTGTTTGATGAAAAAGAACCCTAGTTTCCATGGTCCTTTCGTCCACAGCAGGGATACTGCCCCTGGAAAACCCTAGGCACTCCGGGCCAGAAGCCTTGCGCTGCAACCTTTTAGAAAGGTTCCATAGCAGCATTGGGCTGAGTGCTGCAATGTAGAAATAGGCTAAATTGCGACCCTTGTATATATAGTAGCGGCTAGTAAAGAGCAACAACAGAAGAGAGTAGCTGGTTTACGGCGGCCATGCTGGCGCTTGTCTTCGCCGCAGTCCTACACTTGAAGACTCTGGGCAGAATTTATAGCCGTTTCATCCAAGAGCTGTTCATGGCCCCATTTCCATAAAGTGGACCCTGAACCCGAAACCCCCAAACCCTGAACGGTATACCGTAGAAGCCAGAAAGTTGGAACATCATTTGCCTCATGCTCTTAAAGCAAAATATAGGGAATCCTAGCACTGATCCTCCTAAATCCATGTTCCAACTTTCTGGGGTTCACTATAAGGTCAGGTAGGGTTTGCCGGAGCCCTCGGTCCGGCAGAAGTATTTGAAGTATCCTAGGATGCCCAGTAGTACCCTTATTCCCTTTTTGTAGTCCTAGGTTCCTTATAAAGTTACCCAGTACCAAAAAGAGAGGCCTTTTTTATTCTTAGGTTACTGGGTAACCTAGTATCAGTCGCCAAGGGTCCACGTAACATGCAATTATATTATATAGTCTATATACCTCGGCCATAATGTAGTCCCTATTTGGTACTTTGGGGTCAAGTATATGATATATGAGTACATGGACCCTTAGGGAGTATTAAATATTAGTATTCTTTAGGGCAAGTTGCTATGGCCGTATACTGCATAAACTTTGCGTAGCTCCCTCAGCACGGCAGTATCACCATGAGCAAAAGTCGAAGTTTCCGCAATTTGCTTCTCAAATTTTCAGGAAAGGGGCCCCACCAAAAAACCGTGTGAATACCTAAAGCCCCAAGAGAACGGTCGAAGGTCTTTCAAGCCCTCAGGAAGCCCAAACAACAGCCGTCACATGAATCAGTGAATACAGCGATGCTTTGGGTCAGTCATCGCACTCTGCCACCAAGGAACTCCTTCTTCGGCAAGGTGTTGGATTTCTGCTTTCCGATTTGGGGTCTAAGGTTCGGGGTTTAGGGTTGCTTGGGTGCGCATGTTTTGCTCTTCGGGTTTCGTGTGTAGCAGATGTAGAAACCTGAGCCGGAATCTGGACAACTCTACGCTGGAATGCAAAGCACGCTACACCCTGAACTTACCAGCCCTCAACGAGAAAGCCTGGGCCAACCGACTTTGGTGAAGGGTTAAACTTTTTTTCACGGATGTGTAGGGTCGAGTATTGAGGTGTAGAGGGAGATCAGGTGGCGTAAGGGTTTTGCGTGTCAGGGTCTGTTTTGGGTTCAAGGGTCTAGTTAGAACAGTTAAGGTTTTCGGTGCCACAGTTTACAATCCTACATCTAGAGTGTACCGAAATCTAGATGTTGTTTTAGTTCGTGTTGGTGGAGTCCCAAAAGCTCCATGTACAGTACCCATAGAATATAGTACTTACTTACTCAAAGGGGTTCCTATAAAGGTGCGTTAAGGCCTAAGTTTGTGCTGTTTAAAGGTACCCATATATATATATATATATTTATATTTATACGTGTGTATGTAGAGGAACCCCTTCAAGGCCAAAGTTTACACTATGTAGGCACATGTTGCCTTCGGGGACCCAGATCCCATCGATCTGGCCTTACCTCGCAGCGGCATCACGTCCGGCCCAGAGCCTTATAAGGATCAAGCCATGAGGAGACATGGGAGGGAAACTAGGGGGTGCCTTATTTAGGGGTCCTTATAATAAGGATCATACTACTTATAGGGTACAATATTAGGGTCCCCCCATTTTCGGAAACTCCCACATTAAGCCACAAAAGTAAGCAAGTCCAATTTTATGCCATCGATGCATGAACCCCCGTACTATTCGGCAGGTACTCCATCAGCTCAGTGATATTTGTGGCAGCGCAATCCTAGCACCCACCAGGATCCGGCACCATCTCCCACTAGCCATAAGAAGGCCCACAACCAGGCAGGCGACAAAAACCAGAGAGGCGATATCACCGTAGTTTAGGGTTTAGGGTTGAGGGTTTAGGGTTTAGGTTCTGTCTGTCTCATTTCCTGTCTGGACCGCAACCCTGCAAGAATCTACCCTACCGTGAAGTTTTGCTTTACCAAGACCTCAACCGTGCAAAGAATAGACGTCTTGTAGAACCCTCAACGCCTAAACCACACAAGCTACAGACAAAGTTATGTAGGGACGGTAAGCGACTGTAGACTATACGCACAGGTAGCTGGGCTCCCTACATATCACGACAGGAGCTGCCAGAGCTCCGTCAATGGGCGGCCCCCTTGGTAAACACCTCGCAAGGCCAGGGGCAACAACGAAAGATGAGGGCTCAGGGTCCAGCGTTCTGGTTGGGGGGGTGGGGGCCACGTAATTCAAATGTTCGGGGTTCTTGTATATAAGTCTTTGCGCATTTCCTTCTCTAGTGAGGACGGTACGTGGGGATGGAAGGACGATCGAGGATCCGAGTGAGCCCTGTACTGTAATTACCGCCCCCGCCCTACATACGAGAGTATTCTCGCACATCGAGCTGGAAGACACTAGTAAGACACCTGAAGAGCCGTTGAGAACCTCGACATGTCTCTAAGGGGCCTGAATGATGAGAAATTCGGTGTGGGGGTATCTTTATAATAAGGAACCGCCAAAACCCTATTCAAACTATGAAGGCTCCTACATCATTTCTAGCCCGACCTCACGGGATCACCGACCCCAAAAGTCCTGTGAACCGGTGGCTTCGAGGCCTTCTCCGTGGCAGGCGTGTGGAAGATGGCGAGGCATTCAGCTGATGTGTCTCTTTCTGAGGGCCTTAGGGTTTGGAGATTTTTGGGTATCTTTCTAGGTGAGGGCCTTAGGGTTTGGGGATTTTTTGGTATCTTTCTAGGATCGTTTATTGGATTCAGGGCTCTGTTCGAATTTCGTTTGGATTGTCGAGCTTTGTTTGGTCTGTAGCGGCTGGTACAAGTAGAGTGTAGGCTTAGGGTGGGACTTCGGACATATCTCCTTAGTGTGTTGAGACGGGAGTACA